AGGTCAACTGCTTGGAAGGCAGCCATGGTCACCACTATTCCAGCAACACTCCTGGGGGCACTGGTTCCTCCTGCTCCTCCAGGTCAGAGCCTGGATGGCCTCCTGCTCCTCCACTTCACAGACTGGCCGCATCCCTATTTCAGCCCTCAGCACGCACAGTTCCTCAAGATGTTCCTCACGTTCCCCCTCTTGACTGCAACCACCTCTCGTCCTTGCTCTGCATGCAGAGAGGCACTGCCACAAGTACCATCTCCACACAGAGTCCTTACAACTACTGTCCAAATATCCCTGCTCCAGAGCCAAGAGGCAATAGGGGCTACTTTCATCTAATGCTGGAAATTATTGTTTTGTGGATGTTTAAAATTTTGGTCCATGCTCAGGAATATGGCAATGCATGCCGGTGCTGGAAAAACAAAACAAAACAAACAAAACAAAACAAAACAAAACAAACAAACAAACAAACAAAACAAAACAAAACAAAACAAAACAAAACAAAACAAACCCCCCCCGAAAAACTGGATATGCCTATTGCATGAAAGCAAGCTCTCTCCTATCTCCCTACAAGTCATACACACCTCACATTATACTCTCAATATACCTTTCCTGTCACCCTTTTGGTGGTGCTGCTGGGAGACCGTCATTTTCCCCTAACTAGTGCTCCAGCCGTACTGCTCACAGCAGGATTGGAGTGTCCCTCAGATTATTTTGAAATCAAAGGTAAGGGTTAATAGCCCACTCCACATTTACTGATGTGCCTGGTTACATCCACAGAGCTGCCTTCCCTTCTTCCCTAGAAGCAGCCAGGATGCCAGCTGGAGAGTGAACCCATCCACCCCATGTCAGGATATCCCAGATGCCCAGCTGAGGACAAGGCGCTGGGATCTACAGCCACCGTCCCTGTGGTTAAACATCCAAAGGCCTCTGGAAGGCTGGTACCTCCCATGCTTCGTGCAGGTGTGAACCACGGGACTTCTAGTGAAGCCTGGACGTGCAACTCCTGGGGAGGCGGGTGTCACTGCACAGGGCATGTGCTCAGCAGGGCAGAGATGTCTGCGGCAGGTAGTTGTGGCCGAGTGGTGAAGACGATGGACTAGAAATCCATTGGGTTTTTCCTGCACAAGTTTGAATGCTACCAACTACGGGGTGCAGTCCTGCTTTGGGCTGCTTGGAAGGACCACGCTGCAGCCGAGGAACTTGAAACCCCCTTGACTACAGCACTGCTAATGCAACTTGCTTAGAGGAATGCGCACTGTCTAGGACAGTGACCTGAAGACACCCCCTAAACTGACTCTCAATCACTGGGAATTCCACTGTCAATAGTTGCCAATTCCATGAGGGGCTTCCTTGCCTGATGTGCTTCTTGGCATATGGGTAGGGTTGGCCGGTCCTATCAGCCAATCACAGGTCTTCCTGAGAGGAGGTGGGCATGGCGGGGCCAAGAACTGGCTCTTAGCCACTCACAGAGCAGTATGAAAACATCTTAATTATGTTGTGTAATAAGAAAATGGCATCTCCCTGCCACAAAATGGCAGCTGAAAGGAAATGGCAGCCCCCGTGTGTGCAGGGGAAAGTCCTTCCTTGTCAGATGTACTTGCAGGGATATGGGGAGGGGTGGCAGGTCCTGCCAGCCACACACAACAGACAACATCACAGGGAGACGGCTCTGCCATCAAGGGAAATGGTACACCTGGCTGTCTGCCAGGGATGGTTGAGGCCAAGGGGCCTATTTGGACCGAAGTGGAGGGCAGAGCACCCGGTCCGCCTTATCTGCGGTAAAAGTACTCCCTCTACTACTGACAGCCATCACTCCAAGTGATCGGTGATGTGGAGGTGAGGGATTTGCTGTGGGGAATACGGGATACGACCCAGTCTGGGCCAGTGGGCATGGGGATTCACCAAAGCAATCACCCACCACCCAACCCACTAGCTGCACAAGGCAGATTTTAGCTAAGAAATAGTAGGGTCATATGTCACAAGAATTCGCAGGTGGCCTGTGCTGATGGAGGAGAGAGCCTGGGACGCAAAGTACAGAATTACAAGAGTACATATGCATGCAGGTGCACCCCAAATGTAGTTTAACAGGGAGTACTTACACCATTCAAGGGTACAGGTGCAACAAAATTTGACTGAACAGCAAGACCCACATTACTCACAAGTTGCAACGGCAATAATGCCAGCTGCCCTTCTGTGAAACGAAGTGACAGGGGGTGCGGTGTGTCCCTGGAAGAGCTGCCCAAGACATAGTGACCTCTCCGACAGTGACAGTATTCTTCAGTCAGTGGGACAAGGCACGGAGCCTGCTGAGGTAGCTGAGAAGTTTGGTTCGCTTGGAGCAGCGGACCAGAACAAAGGGCTTCCAGTGGTTCTTTCCAACCGTCATTACTCTGGGGGGCACTGAGTCTCATGGGCCCTTGAGCAGCCACCAAAAGGCAATGCCTTGGAAGGCAGCAGCAGCACAAGATTGCACAGAAGCACCAGCCGTTTCATCAACAGTGCTAAAATATGTGGAAATTTCCTTGAGGAAAGTGGCGCTTTAGGACTATGAGCTCTGGTATCCCTGGCACATCTGAGGCTGGGCCACCATGTCCACTGAAGTCCAGAGCAGGGTGACTCATGTTTGCCTGCAGCTCTGGGTTTTTCCCAACTCCTCCACATCACGATGACTCCCAGGTGCTGTGGGAGACTGATGTGCGACGCCCGTTTGGAGATTGAAATGCATGGAACATGCCGCCCCATCCCTGACCCAGGAAAAAGGGCCATGAGCTTTTGGCTCCCTGCCCTGAGCCTCTCCTGAAAAGCAGGCCATCCAGGCCTCTGGCTTCTAGGCTGACCGTGCTGAGCTAAACAGGTCATTTTGCCTGTGGGTTTATTTCACGGAAGGATGCACGCATCTCTTTGACCACACTCCTATGCCTCAATTTGCCTGTGTCCCACAGGTTCTCCACATCCCAAGATGACACCCGAGGACTGGTTGGAAGAATTGTGAAGGCCTTGTCATGTCATCCTAGGGACAGTGCTACTGAGATCCCAAGGAGAGATCGCTTGAGAGAGACCAGCCTCAATCTGTGGCCTACTCTTTCTCATTATGGATCTGCTATGGTCCCTGGCCTTGTGGGGAGAAAACATAGGCTTTTTCAGAGCCTGACAAATGTGAGGAAGGTCCTTGTGGCCCTCATTCCTTCCTGCAAGCAGCTTCCCTCCAGACCACAATGGTAACTTTCCTGGCCTTGCGTTTTGCTCAACAGATGCCACCATCTCCTGTGAGCCCATGATGACTCGTATGGAGAGAGATGTCTCCCAGTGCTAGACAAAATATGCACTAAAGCCCTTTTTCAAGAGCAAGGTGATCAAAGGGGCTCAGCTGTGGGGAGGTCTGTCCACTGGAATTTACACCTTCAGCATATGGTTGCTTAGCAAAAGAACAAGCGTTCACTCACTGATCTGTGTTTCAGCTTTGACACTTTCACCAAGATATGTTTCCTCCTACACCTGCGGTAGCTCCAACACAGGTGCTGTCCACGCCAGAAACTTCACAGATGGCTCAGCGTGTTAGATCACCCACACAGTTGCTTGCTCACACAGCCCAGCCTGATGCTCCCTGGCACTGCCAGCAATCACGCTTCAAAGTCACATAAAATCAGCTCCGAAGTGCTTTCAGTGCAGAGCCTCGGGCTAACCGAGGGAGACGTCTATCTCCCAGTGGGTCTATATAGACTGGCAGGAGATGGTGGGCGAAGAGACTCACATACCCAGAGATGCAGTAAAACTCAATGACAAGGAAGGATCATTGTGGGCAGGAGTGAGGGCCACGAGGACCTTGCTCACGCTCAACAGGCTCTGCCACAGCCTGTTTTTTATGACCACAGTGTCCAGGGAATGAAGGCACATTTGTAACGACAGGGAGCAGACCAGAGGATCAGGCAGGTCTCTTTCAGGTAATTTCTCCATGGGATCTCCATCGCCATATCCCTTGATTAACTTAACATTAAGCTTGGTCTGCTCAGAGCAGGAGGTTGTCCCAGAGCCATTCCAGAAGAACCATCCATCCCACATCATTCTGGGCTGCACTCACTCTCGTGGGTCCCTGAGCAGCCACTGGCAGGCAATGCCTTAGAAGGCAGAAGCTGCACGAGGTTGCACAGAAGCACCAGTTGATTCAGGAATGGTGCTAAAAGGTTTTTCCTTGCAGAAAGCCGCAAATTGGGACTATGAGGTCTGGTATCCCTGGCACAACTGAGGCTGGGCAACCGTGTCCACTGACGTCGAAAGCAGGGTGAGTCCTGCTTGCCAGCAGCTCTGGGATTTTCCCAACTCTTCCACATCATGATGACTCCCAGGTGCTCTGAGACTCATCCAATGTGCCTTTGTAGTGTGAAATGCATGGAATTGGCCACCCCCTCTCTGAATCAGGAAAAAGGGCCATGAGGTTTTCATTCCCTGCTGTTCACCTCTCTTCCTAATCAGGCAAGCCACACCTCCATCCTCTGGGATGACCTTACAGAGCCAAACGGGTCAATTTGGGTGTGGGTCTCCTTCAGGGAAGGACGCGGGCAAGTCTTTGATCACAAAACCAGTCTGTGGTAGAGCCTGATGAGCGTAAACAAGGTCGCTGTGGCCATCATCACCCCTGCCCACAGGGGGCTTCCCTCCACCTCACAGTGGTCTTTCCTTGCCCTTGAGCTTTGCCACGTCCCTGGAGTGGTGCGTCTCTCCTCCCATATGGGATTGTGCAGTCTTGAACTTCTGCCTGAAATTACTCACTGTGTCCTGTGTTTCTACGATCACCCAGGAAGAGAATTGTCCCTCTGGTTTTAGACTGAGTGCCTGCAAAGAAAGCATTTGAGAGAAGACTTGAGGTGCCCTGTATGTTTGAATTTCACCATGACACGTGGACTAGTTAACCACAAAGAGGGCAATGAGACCAAAGGAATTTGTATGAGGCAAGTCAACTAAAAATATCTGTCTGTCCTGCGTAAGAACTCAGAGTTAATTGAATTTATAAACCTGGGATACAGATGAATGATTTTGATGTTCGATGGTATGAAAAAGAGGACAATATGTGGGATGTAAGAAACGAGGGCTTAATCACCAGGGAAGGCGTGGGAAGCGGAAACTCCTATGTGTTCAGATGCTTCATGAGCAAGGGATGTTGGTGGCCCCACAGGGCTCTGGGACACAGCATAAAAGCCTGCGCTGCTCCAGGCTCTGCATCCTCCTCTCTTGCTTCACTTTCCTCGAGGAACGAGGTAAGTCTGGGTCTACTCCATGTCTCTCTCTGTAGGCAGAATTGCTGCCATGCTGGAGTCTCGGGTTGATATTTCTCTGCCTCAGCATGGTCCCGCAATTGAACAATTGAAGGGCTGTCACCTCTGTCTATTTTTTGTGGAGCTGGCTGTGCAGAAATGGGAAGAGGGTGTTCTTTCAAGCAGAAGGGTATCAATGGAGCTCAACTGTAGGGGTGTCTGCCTCACCAGAATTTGCACCCGCAGCAGGATGCTCTCTAACCAAATGGCCAAGTGCTTCATCAATGCAACAACAGTTGTTCTGGAGATGGGGTATGATCAGGTGCTTTAAACCCACTGGGCTTGGTCCTATCCCAAAGTGGGTCAGCGTTCCTGCACTGTGCAACTCAGAGGGGTGCATTACGAGCTGTAGGAAGACTGTGTGTGTTTAAGAGGTGATTTCTGAGACACCCATTCAACGCAGCCCATTTGTGCTGGGATACTTGCATCAATCTTCGTCTGTGCTATTGTACTGGGAAATGGAGTAGGAGGTCCTGGTGCAATCAGCAGCCAGTTAGGCACGTCTTTGCTCCCAGTGCTTCAAATCCAACTTAGGGGGATAGGTCACGCACGTTGTGTGTGTTAGAAAGATCAGGTGCAGGCATTTCCTGCACCTGCAGCTAGAAATGGAGATGGAGAGCAGCAAAGTGTATCTGCAGAGAGAGCTGTGGACATGAGAGCCAAGTTGATGTTTGGGTCTGTGTTTCCTTCCTGCTCTGTGTTGCAGCTTTGCTTCCTTCACCGAGAGATGTCTTGCTTCAGACCCTGTCCCCCACGGCCCTGCTGTGCCTCTGGCCCAACCCCACTTGCAAGCAGCTGCAGTGAGCCCTGTGTCGCCCGCTGCGCTGACTCGACGGTGTTCATCGAGCCCTCGCCAGTGGTGGTGACCCTGCCAGGCCCCATCCTCAACTCTTTCCCTCAGAGCACGGCTGTGGGATCGTCTCTGTCAGCTGCTGTTGGGAGCTCCCTCAGTGCCGGGGGAGTTCCCATCTCTTCTGGGGGCTCCATTGGTCTGGGTGGGTCCGGGATGTGTCTGCCTGTCCCCCGCTGCAGTCTGAACTGCTGAAGCTGGCGGCTCATCCCCTCGGGAGCAGGATGGAAGACGGGACCCTGCAGCAGCAGGATCGTGGCCACGGCTTGTAGACAGGCTGGGTGTCCTCATGGCACCTGGCAGGAGGGACCTGTGCCCACTTCTCCTCGCTGCACGGCAGGCGTGGCAGTGTCTCTAGCTCTTCTTTACTCTGAGCCCTCCGGAAAGGTCTCGTTCTCTTCTGCTTTGCTGAAACTCCTGTTGAACAGGAGAGGGTGCTAGAGTTAGGGACCGCTCTGTGCGTCCCTCAACCCTGCAGATGTGTTTTTTGGTCTCTGTTCTGTGCCACTGCATTTCCTCCTTCTCATTAAAGACTTTGTGCAGCATAGCTGGGATTTCATGGTGGCTTCTTCTTTTTCTCCCTCAGTTAGCTGTATGCTCTGCTAGAGAGACCAAGTGACCTCTGTCACGAGCTAGCAGACAACTGAGAGTGGAGCTCCTTTGCACAGAAAGTAAGTAAGCAGGCAAGAGAAAAACACAAATGCCTCGAGGAAACGGGGTGTGAGTCTGCAGCCTTTTGATCACAGACCTGTGATATCTCTCAGTGTCAGCCTAGAGTCTTGCCACTGAACGCTCTTAAGAGCTGATCTCAGTTCTCCTGCTGGTGCACCCAGCGCATCCTGCATGTACGGTCAGGAAGGGGTGACTCTTCACTGCTCGCCCTCAGTACTCCCTGGCAGAGGAGAGAAGCAGGCTTATGGACTGGGCTGAGGTGACAACACTGCCTGAGGTGGCAGGAGAAAATGGACACGTGTACTCAGCTGAGTTGTAGACGGTGCCTTCAGAAACAGGCAGGGACAAGTCACCTTTCTGATCCTGACCCACAGCCAGAGCCCTGCCATTTGGAAGTTGGGTTTATGCCTCTTTTCCTTTTGGTGATGCACCTTGTTCCTCACAGATGTTTTGGGCGAAAAAAAGCACCTCAGCTGCTCAGCAGATAAGCAAGTGTACAGCCAAGCACAAATCTAGATGCAGTGTTGCTGTTGAATCATGCAGATGAGGCATTGCATGAACTTTGGAGCAGGTACCCATCTTCCCCTGACTGAATGATGTTGCTTCAGCTTTCTCTCTTGGTCTAATCTGCTCCCAGCAGCAAGTGGAAAGTCTTCTGAAAAGTTTCCTTCTTCTGCTGGATACCTGGACATCTGGGTGCCAGGTGCCCTTACAGGGACTCCATAGGTGTCACTGTGTGGTCGATCCATACTTCTGCACAGCTGGGAGCTCTGTCAGCCCTGCTGAACAGACACTGAGGTGATCAAGGTCATGGTGCACGTGCCATAAGAGACCAGGCTGGGAGAGCAGGACCTGGCGAACCTGGGGAAGGGAAGGCTGAGGTCTCATCTTATGCACTGACAGTGGTGGAAACACAAGAAATGTCACACAGAGTAGCCCTGTTTTTCTGCGAGGGTGATCCAAGACCAGTGTCTCAACTTGTTAGGTGTGAATGTTAATTCAGACCTTTTGATAGGTCCTCTCAACTGTTGTTCACAAACTTCTTGTGAAAAGCAACCATTGCAAAGCTCTCTTCCACTGGTGGTGTGGGAATAAACTTCAGGGGTGGGTATGGATTGCAAAGGAGGAAAGTGCTGGTTTCCAGCTCTGCACGTAGGCAATGTGGCTGCCAGATGGAGTTTAGAGTGGGCATTCAGCAGGGAAATGAGCATGCACAATCACGATCTCCCTCTTTGTAACTCCCTCTACGCATAGAACTGCTGATGACAGAGTGAGAGTCTGTAAATACTGTGCGAACAGTAACCTGCGGACAACCCTGCTTTTGACAGTCAAGACAGCAATGAGCATGGCTTTTTAAATTTAATCATCTCCTGAATCAGAGACTTGAAAAGTCTCACAGACTGGCCAGCACACACAGTTCCTCTTCAGGCCACCGCACGCACAGTTCCTCGGGACGATTTTTGAGCTCACACTCTTGACTGTGACCTCCTGCCACTCTTGCTCTGCATGCAGACAGGAATATCCACAGGGACCATCTCCATACCTACTACTACTTAGTGCAATTTGCCAAATAGCGCTGCTGTGGAGCCAAAAGGGAATCAGAGCTATTTTGTACTACTAATGAAACTGATTGTTTTTTCAGGTCTTTTGTTGTTTTGCTCAATGCTCTGGAAGATAACAATGCTTGGTCAAGCTGGCAAAAAGATCTAGACAAGCTATTTCACCAAAAAAGCTCTCTCCTGTCTACCTGCAAGTCATCCACACCTCTCATTTATTCTCACATTGCCCCTCCTCAATTTCCTCAGCCAGGCTCTACCTTTCCCTTTCTATAGATCTCTCCCACTCTCACAACACATCCCCCCTACACACCAAGAAGCTGCATGCCAGTCATCTACTTTGCTTTTCTTTCCTGGCAGATACTCCAGCTGGAGAGTGAACCCATCCACCCCATGTCAGGATATCCCAGATGCCCAGCTGAGGACAAGGCGCTGGGATCTACAGCCACAGTCCCTGTGGTTAAACCTCCAAAAGCCTCTGGAAGGCTGGTACCTTCCTTGCTCCGTGCAGGTGTGAACCACGGGGCTTCTAGTGAGGCGGGTGTCACTGCACAGGGGATGTGCTCAGCAGGGCAGAGAGGGCTGGGGCAGGTAGTTGTGGCCGAGTGGGGAAGGCGATGGACTAGAAATCCATTGGGGTTTCCCCGCGCAGGTTCGAATCCTGCCGACTACGGGGTGCAGTCCCATTTTTGGGCTGCCTGCAAGGACCACGCTACATCCGAGTGTCTTGGCTCACGCCAGGGACACAGCAAAACCTCCTTGCCTTCTGTGCTTGTCCTACCCTCCACCCGAGCGTGAAAATCCCGGATGAATGGGAAATCCTGCTCCTCCCTTTCCAAGACAGGGGAAGAGAACAGACCAGTGCTCAGTATTGGCCATGAGAGAGCTCCACTGTTGTTGGTTCTTCCTCAAAACCATGTGCCTGATCTTATCCAACATCCCAAGCAGAACAACCCCACCATCTCTCTTCCCTATGTCTAAAACTGTAGGAGGGACCTCATACGGAGGGTGAGACCGGAGTTAGACCTCACACTGATGTGATGAAAGTCTTGCTCTATTTATTTACCCAAGTAGCCCCAAGATATAAAGAGCCAGATGGTCACATGCTCTAGGCTTTATAGTCTATTGGCTAAAAGCTCTTATCAAGCCCCCGGAAGTGCTGTGATAGGTCTGCATCGTTAGTACACGTGTATAACCTAAATCTACTTTGTGGTTAGTGTATCCAGGCATTCAAAAAGGAAGGAAGCACCAGCTTGACTTCCACATTCCTTCCCTTCTAGGTGACCTCAAGGGCAGGATTACCACGTGGCAGTTTTCTGCTCAGACACCCGGCCTGGATTGTCCAAACCCTGTAGGATCAGTGCATGACCCTGATCCCCAAAAATCCTACCACATGAAACTTTAGCAGCTCATGTCCAAAGAGAGCCTGCACAACATGGCCCTCACTGCTAAAGAAGAAGGGGTGTCACCTCATGCACCTGATATCTTGCCAGCACTCACAAATTGCCCATTACTTTAGGTCTCACAAACTCAGAGAGCTGTGGAGCAGCAGGCAAGTGGGGGGAAGAGGAGGGGCCAGAGCTGACTATGACCTTCAGAAGAGGTACTTCTTTGCATACATGGACCTCATTGCAAGCAATGAATTGAAGACACATCATTGATCAGGCATCTTGGGGATATTCTGCCTGACCCATCTCCGGGCCTCGCACACATGCACACCCTTTCCCAGGGGTCTTTCCCAAATTTAGCTTAAGGATGAGATGATGAGGGGTTTCCTCCTCTTCTGGGAAAGACGTGGAAGTGCAAAAGAAGACACGGTGGTGACTGTGGCATCAGGAGACTGTCCCCTGCCATCACAGTCCCTG